GAGGGCCAGGAGTCTGCGCTGTGGCAGTGCCCGTCGCGGGGCTGGGGCCTGCACGACTGCGGGCACAAGGAGGACGCCAGTGTCGTCTGCTCAGGTGGGTGTCTTAAGCTGAGTCCCCTACTGGGGCAGTTTGGTTTGAAATGGTCGTGTTGTTTTAGCACATAAAGTAACACCCACGTGCTTTCCTCGGATTCCACTAGTGTCTCCCCGCCCAGCTCTTCCTGGTTTGGAGGACTCCGTAGCTCACTGCGTCAGTGTCCTCTTGCTACAGAGATGCTGCGGGACTAAGCACGTTCTTCCCTTTGGGGCTGGGGGGTGGGGAGGAGGCCGGGGTGGGGCTGCGTCTGCTACTTGTTGCTCCTGGTCCTGGTGCTGCACTGCCTAGGGTCCTTCTCTCTTGCTCATGAGCTCATCTCACATCTGTGCTTGAGGTTTCCGTCTTGAAGTCCTAACTTTGATCCATGTTTCAGTGTGCTGGATGACTTTTTCCAGATATTTTTAAGGCAGAGTATGAAGTTTTTTAGCTCATATATATCTGAGACTCCTCTGTGGATCTCGTCTGGCTGTGATTATTCTTAATGACCGAATTTTGCCGTATGCTGGGGGCACCTGGGAAGTCCTGCCTCCCCGGGCATCTCCCGGCAGCCCTCCAGGGTGGGTCTGGGCATCCCAGGGTGGCCCTTTCTCACTGATTTTGGTTCCTGTTTTTGCTTTAGAAAAGTTTTCTTCAACTTTGTTGGCGGTCTTAGATAACTGCGTTTATTTCAATCTCGTATTTCTTTGTGAGTAGCAGGCCCCTGGTTTTGGCTCTTCCTCGTCCTTTTTATCTGGGCTGGAGTGCTCGCTCTTTCCTCACGCTTTCTGGAGCTTCCAGATCACCGACTTGCTGTTCTGTCACTGCTGGCCGTCATGCTCTTGGATGTACGTGTGAATGTGCGTTGTGTTTTCAGTTTCCTTGAAGTTCTTCCTTCTCTGTGCTGTGGCCTCTTCGGGCAGCTGCAGGCACTGGCTGGCTGGTAGGACTCTGCTGCTGGGGACACTCTGTTTCTGTTACGAGTCATCCTGGCAGCAGGTTTTAAAGGCGAGAACAGAGGCAGGCAGTGCACCCTTGAGGCCCCAGCATGGAACAAGAATGGGTGACTTGTACCCCATTACCTTGGTTGGCCAGAGCCCCGAGGCCAGCACAGATGCAGGGCTGGGAAACAGACTCACTCAAAGAGCATGGATACAGACAGGAGGTCTTGGTGGCCACTTCTGTAATTACAGATGTGTCTCCTTCTGGTGTTTTTCCTAAGCTTATTTCAATTCATTATGATGCTTTCAGATGCAATTCTTATCCACGTTCCTGGATTCATCCTCAGATGGGCATTTTTGATGTATTACGGGCTTTTGTGACATAATTTTAAGGGGCTGTCTAAGACCCCGTCACGCGGTGATATTATGCCGTCTACCTAATGCATCGCACTGTCGTTGGGCGTGCACTGCTCAAGGGGAACGAGCCAGTGCTTGAGCACCGATCAACCAGGCCCCATACTATCTCCAAACTCAGAGATCTGGGCTAATTCCTGGATTTTTTTTAATTAAATTTTTTTATGATCACTGCTAAATCGATCATCTTGTACAAAGGATTATTCTGCATTTCAAGTAATTTCCAAGGATAGATTTCTGGACAATTCAGCTGATGCCTGCTGACTAAGATGTTACAACTGGAGATTAAATCTGGTTATCTGTGGTCAACAGTTTCCATCTTTGGGGTGGAAACTGATGGGATGTGGGGTTGATATGAAGTGGATGCCAGGTGCTCACTGGGTCAGATGCCCTTGCTTGGCATTGGTCTTGGTGCTGGGACCCCCTCGTCTCCGCCTCCTCCTTCAGAGATTTCCCTGGGCTGACTGTGTTTGTCTTCCAGAGTTAGTGGCCCTGAGGCTGAAAGGTGGCACTGGCCGCTGTGCTGGGTGGCTAGACGTGTTCTACAATGGGACATGGGGCTCCGTGTGCAGCAATGCCCTGAAGGACACCTCGTTGTCCATCATCTGCAAGCAGCTGGCCTGTGGGGAGCAGGGCTGGCTGGAGAACAGACCTGTCCACACTGGCTCGGGCATCTTCTGGGTGGACCACATCCAGTGCCGCAGGCTGCGAAACTCCACCCTATGGCAGTGCCCCTCCGCTCCATGGCACCCGCGCTCCTGTGTCCCTGGAGAGGAAGTCTGGATCACCTGTGCAGGTGGGCCCTGGCAGTCTCTGAGGGGCCGGGAGGCAGCTTAAATGTCTTGATAAGTCCTCTGCAGGGGCTGCTGTTGGCCCATGGCTCGGAGCCTGGGAATCACTTGGGCTCCACAGGCTTCATTCTGACGATTTTCAGGGCATTCACACTGGGAGGGCCGCTGTTTAATCCAACAGGATTGTCAGAGAAAATGACACAGGATCCCCGGGAGACCCTGAACTGCTCTTCCACCCGCAGCTGCCCAGGTACCCCTCCCACCGCCTTCCTGTCCACTCCCCATCCGGGTTCGGCCCCGCGGTGACCACAGCCCCCTTTTCCAGAGGAGGGCGCGCTGCGCCTGCTCGGGGGCGAGGACCGCTGCTCCGGCCGCGTGGAGCTCTGGCACGCCGGCTCCTGGGGCA